GACTTCATAGTATATGCCCCATGACATTTCAGGCATTATTAACATAGGATCACTAGATTATAAGGCGAGTAGATGGACACTGTTAATTGCCGATTTATTCCTTTCCAAAATAACTACAGTTTAAATAACATTTCATAATTAGCTTGCTTAATAAAAAAAGAATATGTAACTTTTGCAGATACATGTAGCAATTGAGTTTTTTCCCCATGATTTACATCTGCTTTATGCAGTATTTACATATAAAGTGAAAAGAAATAAGACTTAAATAATCTTTTCAAATAATATCATGCAATGTACCTATGAGAAATATGAAAATTAATCTACATTTGGCACAGAACCACAGATTAAAAAATACGGACATTACACAGACAAAACTCGGAGGAAATAGAAGTCTGTAACTCCTATGATAAATTTCTTTGAAAAATGCTATGAATTGCCTTAAAACTCTCTTCAATGTCGAAAGCTTTTCCATCTCCTTTCAAATTTTCTTGATATGAAGTTTTTGTTAAGAATGATTATTTTCAAGAAAAAATATTTTATTATTTGGAGTATATTTCTCCGAGTACAGATATAAACGTGGAACTCTGAGCAGGACGTATATTTGATTTCAGTAAAAATAATGTGTCCAATTATGGTTTTAAGTTTACTATATACATGTACATGTACTGTTAACCCTTTAAGTACAGTTAAATAATTATCTAATTACTTGTATATATATATATCAATGAAAATAAAACATTAATGATATTTCTATTCGGAATTTATTTACAGATGCCGAAGCTGTTAATACTTCTCTCGTTTATGTGTTTGATATACTGCGCCAAATCCTGCCGGGATTGCCAGAGAAATGGGATACAGTATAGAGGAAACAGCAATTTCCAGTTTGACAGCGGATGCTACCGTTTCAATTGCCGATGTAATTGTGATGGATCTTGGAACTGCCCCGCCTCTAGGACCCAGAACATCTGCCGAAACCCCCAAGGATCGAATCAATGTCTAAAATGTCAAAGAAATGGGGTACAGTACTCAGGAAACAGTAACTTCAGTTTCGACAGCGGATGTTACCGTTTCAATTGTAGATGTAACTGCGATGGGTCATGGAACTGCCCCGCTAGTAGAACACAGAACATCTGCCAACGCCCACAAGGATCCGGAAGTCGCTGTCCAGGATGCACAGTGAAAGGGAAAAAGTATTCAGCTGGGAGATTCCAGTATGATGAAGGATGCCTCAGAATTTTCTGTAAATGTGACTGTAATGGGTCATACAGCTGCGCTTCCGATCAGTACATCTGTTGAACGTTTTAATACATTTGATGGAAATTTTGTCCTTAAAGACTCCAAAAGTTTAAGATGTATGCATGTCTTAACATGAAAAAGCTGTCCAATTTACAACCGGGGAATATTACCAATAAAATTGATTAATTCGTAAAGTTAATGATATATAAATGATAATTTTAGCAGGTAATATTTGTTTGCGACGTTTATTTGGGAGAGTGAAAACTTGCAATTGTTTTTTATCATGAAAAAAAAAATCTTTAAGATGACTATGCACACATTTGATTTACAGTATGAATTATAGAACTATTCCATATAATTCATACTCGCAACAAGGCCTGATGCGTTACAAAGAAAATAGATAAGTAATTTAAGATTAGTTAACAATAGGAAAAAAAAAAGGTCACCGAACAATTACGCACAAACACGTTTACCAATCACATCAAACAAAAACAAAATTTTATTTATACTTTAATCTTCTTTACTCTTAATGATAACGTTATAAATTTTCGTTGATTCTCTGCAGTATCTACTAGTGGACAGTAGGGCTGTGTCAATATATCGATTAATCAATACATATCGATATTCAGGAATGTATCGTATCGACAAAATAACTTCCAATACGTATCGGGCAGACAGTTTTTCTTATAATTCAAAGAAAAGGTTGGAAATGTCAGTCACCAAAGATAATTTTTAACTGTTTTTAGTTAAAACTACTCAATAATGAAATAAACATTAAGGAGATAGCACATCTTAAATAACCTTTACAAAATACATAGACAACTATATTTAAACATATTAATTTTTATACAGTCATTAAAAGTTTGAATTTGAAGTGTACTTTGTAAAGACAGTGAGACATGAACTTCCAGTTTGGTAATAAAACATCCAGTTTTTTTCATGTTCAAGCATTAAATGATTTACATGTACAAGACCTTTTTGATAGACTTATTAAAGAATCCAATATCTCGCATATCGCTTTATAAAATATCGTATCGTATCGAAATATTTTGGTCAATACACAGCCCTAGTGGACAGGGAAGAGTTATGGATTATTTTCAGATAACGAATTTAGCATATATACCAATAGAAAACTTACTAAGTCATGCAGGACTCAGCAATATGTTTATATCGAAAATCTTGACCTCTGACCAAGTGGCCTCAAAAGTCAGTCTTCTCTCTAAGCGTTGAGAATAAGATTTGTTGATTGATTATATATTGTTTAACCTTCCGTTCGAGAATTTTTCACTCATATAGAGACGTCACCATATACCGGTGAAGGGCTTCAAATTTAGACATTTACTCGGCACTCAGGGCCAAAAAAGGAGTGTCCTTAATCATTAAATACAACGCCGCATGACTGACGACGACGTCTCGTTGTTAGAATCAGTTCGATTGTGCTATGCAGTTCCATATCTTCACAATTTTTCGGTTACTGAATGCGATCCACTCGGCACACCTCGGCCGACTCGTACCTCATCTTATGATGAAGGTGACGGAATCAGCCGAGGTTTGCCGAATGAAACGCGATCTTTCATGCGATAAAACATCAGCAGCTAGGGACGGGGAGTAAGGGGTTGTAGCAGCCCAATGCACTACATAATGTAAACATGTACATTCACACTAATTTTTAAAAAAAAAAAAAAAAAAAAAAAAAAAAAAAAACACCTCTTCATTTGTATTAAGGATTTTGCTTGACATTTTTGCAATGTGATTTGTTGTGCACAATTCATAGGGTGATGAACAAAGCATATTGTTGTGCTGCTTAGTTCCTGTAACAGTATGAAATTCTTGTTCGATTTCCTATCAAGTAATGGTTACCAAAGACAATAGTGCCTCCAAATACCAGTTTGAAAGACTGGCGTTGTAATTTGTGGGAGTCAATAGAGTTTTTTCCCTTGCTCAGTAGTACAACGTTTCCCTGTAGCACATATTTGTAGCATTCACATTCGCTATTGTCAGTAGCAGTCAGAAGTTGGCGATGAAAGCTAAACAATCATTTGTTGCCAGCTGACTGTCATTTATGGAATTGAATAGGCTAAATGCTAGATTTCAGGCCCGTAACAACGGTTTTAAAAGTGGGGGGAGGGGGGGTTCCAACTTCCGAAAAAAAAAATCTGACAAGCTGCTAGCAAAAAAAAAAAAAAAAAAAAAAAAAAAAAAAAAAAAAAAAAAAAAGAGGAAAGAAAACTGACCAAAAGTGGTGAAAAAAAAACTGAACTGACCAAAAGTGGTGGGGCCCACTTCTCAAAATTATCTGACTAGCCCCCCAGCCGCCGCCCCCCCCCCCAAAGATAATTTACTGTCAAAATCCTGGAATTTATCAGTGCTCAACCTTACAACATCAAGAAGTCTGTGTGTGTGTGTATGTGGGTGGGGGAGGGGGGGGGAGGGGCAACCAGCACCTAATGGAAAAATTTACTATAGCAAAAAGCAAAATACTACAGTGTATACTCAAAAAAAGGGCGGTCCCCTCGCATCCCCAAAAGTTCTACGGACCTTGATTTGTGTAGTATATTGATTTGTCTTTTTCTTTCTTTTTTATTTAATTATTTTTTGAAGGGGGGGGGTATTAATATACAATATATATATTATTTATTTAGTTTTTTTTTTTCTTTTGTGGGGGTGGAGGGACAATGCAAGGACGTCGTATAAGGGGGCCTATCCCCTCCCCCCTTTTTCCGAACATAAATGTTTTACTATTTTAAAATTATCGCCAAACCCCTAACTCTGTCACTACCCTAACTCCGTCATTATTTTCAGGAAACTCCGCACAGCTGTTTGTAAACCACTGCGATTGTGACCTCATTTTTTACATGTTTAAAAATCTATAATCAAGTGCAGAGAAATTATTACAGTCAAGTTCAAAAATGCGTCATAAATAAATAACAATTACACGTAATCTATTGTATCTATCATATTTCATGTGAAATCAGTAAGTAATTCTTCCTTTATGTGCTATAATTCCATTGACACCTCCGACATATGTGTCAATATGCTCATTTTTACATGTCAGTCATATTTATGAAGATCTTTGCTATAGGATTAATTAATATGACATACCATATTGAATATTAATACCGCTAAAAATATTTCATTTTTCATCTCAATTTGCCCTAATACGCTACATGTTGGAGTTTACATAGCATGACGTTATTACATATAAAGTACGTTTTATTAACGTTATTTTTTATGTTATTTTTCCTAAAATACAATTTAATACGATTTTAAATCTTCAAAACTAATTTTCGATGTTTACAAGTTTAAGATGAAGGAAGAAAAAACTTATTGGACATAATGTACACGGATGTGATACGCGTTTTATTTATAGTAGTTTTTATAAGCCCAATAACTGCATTTTTTTTTTAAATGGTTCTGAAAACAATGTTTAAGTTTATAACTAAGTGTAGCAAACAAGGAACAAATCAAAAAATAATTCAGAGAGTAATCTGGCGTGTTTTCCCTTATGGTGACGGAGTTTGGGTAGTAGGGGATAATTTAGTATGAAAAAAAAATTCATCGACCCCCCCCCCCTCCCTTTTTTTCGGTTGTAAAATCTTGTTAGGTTAATGTATTGAAAAACATTTCCTTGTGAAGAAGTTGAAACACTCGAAAATTAAGAAAAATCATTTCCATTTTTTTTTTTCAAAATGCTAAAATATACAAGGTTCATTGCTGCGTTTTACTTTGAATCGGGCTCGGAATACAAATTATTGTTATTCGAGATGGCAGAAAAACGAAAAGCAGATACAAGTTTCTCATCTAATGATGCGTCAGGACATCTTGCTAAGCCAATACAACTACTGGATTCTCATAATGGAAAAGATAATTCTAGTCGGCCCACTGACAGCAGTGTTCCCCTACACACCTCTCTCTGGACAAAAGCTTTTATCGATAGACTAGGTGTTCGTATTGTGTATGAACAGTCTCCAGAGAATATTGTAAAAGAATGGAGTTTGTCCGTCCTCTCTGAAAAGTACTTAGATGATATCGAAACTATGCTGCCTAATGTTGATTCTTGTTTAAAACATTTGGACTTTGACTCTTTAGAAGACATTTTGATAGCGATTAGATCAGATAGACTTCCAGTGGATTTGTTAAAAATAATTAAACTTAATACAGATTTCCAGTATCCAGGATCACATTTTGCATCGTAAGTAACAAGAGTTAAAAGCAGTATGACAATGAGATTTAGCTTCTGAAAGACTAAAATTCTTGCTTACATCTGTATTCTCCATGGAAAATTCAAAGAATCTACCAAGTGATGCGAATTCCTCTGCATCAATCATCATGATCATGTCAGTGTTATGAAATTTTTCATCCCACAGATTGTCTTAGAAAATTTATATATGGTCATGAATAATCATATGATTCATGGTTTGAACAACATTCTAACCATCATTTAATATAAGAGTGAGTGTAAAATAAGACTTGTTTTTATTTTCTTTCCAGAAAATTGATATGTACAAATACATGACACAATGTAGAGGAAAACTGAAAATAAATTTAATATTTACAAATTTTTTGCATATGGCATTTGCAGACATATTTTATATCGTAAAAAATGATAAGGTAAAAAGTCACTGTAAATAATGAACTTAAAAATATAGATGTAAAATTGATTCTATTTGTTTCAGATTTAGAGCTCGTGGTGAAGACTTTCTTTTTACTCTGTTATACATCATTAACGATATTGAAGAAGATGTTATGGACTGGCAGTATCAAATTTTGTTTGATAAATTTCTTAAGATGTTTGGATTCACTGTCATGTAAGTAAACATTGTAAATGGGGAATATATATCATCATGATCATCATATCAATAACTTGATCTGAAGAGCAGGATCATTTCCAGTTGACAGGTGTGGATCATCAGATCAAACAATATGCGTAGCATTGAATTTGATCTGATGATCCGTGCCTGTAAATGAGACAGCCCTTCACATCAAGTGACTTTAATACTGATAAATTTATTACATACCTCTCTATTATTAGTAAAATATATTAAAAGAAAACGTTTGGGATCACTTATACAACATTTATCTATTAAACAAAACAGTTTTTCAAGGATGTTTTTTTATATACAAGAACAACACTTCATATTTACTGTGTACTACGTCATCAGTTTCAGAGAGGGGTGATATGGATTCAGAAAACCACAGTGTGGTGATCCAGAAAGTTGGATCACATCCCCATGTGATTGTGTGAAATTAACAGTAAAATTGAGTGATATACAGTTGGGTATTTAATAAATTTTAAGACCAAAATCCATTCATTGACTCATATCCTCTTTTTGGATTTGTATATTATAATAATCAGATAATGATGTATACCTTAAGTATGTACATGTGTGCAAAAGCTATAGGCAGCAGTAAATAGATTTTAATTCATTTAAAGAGCTACAAATTGATGCTTATACATATCTCTATTCGATCCAACATTGTATCCAATATTGCATTTATATTAAGGTCCTCTGGTACTTTGACAGCATACATGCAGCAGCTGTCTGGCTTTTGCTTCCATTTAAAAGTATTTTTTTCATAAACTATTTAACTGATATTTTTTCCAATTTTAATTCTTATAGCAGGAATCATTTAACATAACAGTTCACAAGAAATATTCTGCACTCCCCAGGCATTATTTTGTTAAGTTTTTCAGACCTGTGGCATTTTCAACTTGTGCGTGCAAAATTTCTTTTCCTACACATCATTTGTAGAATAATATATACATGTAATTATTGCTGGTTTTGAGGTCAATACGATGATTTTTAGTCTTGTGTGAGAGAAATAAATCCTTAAATTCACCTGGAAGGTCACCTGCAGGTGAATATAAAATAGGTATTTTTCTAACATTTTTGGATCTCAGCCAATCAGAGAGACGGGAATTATTCAATCATATAATAATGAATGTTATGTCTACATGCACCTTTGCAACACACAATTTTTAGGTAAGAAATTATGTATATGATATGTATATTTTAAGATTTTTCTTTCAGACAGCAACCCTTCATGAAAACCAAAAAATCACAGATAATGAGAACAACTGTAGACTCTCAGTCATCACTGTTGTGTTACACCTCTGACCCTAGAAGACAAAGACCAGTAGTGGTGGTTTGTGAGGTAACCTCTTTCTGTATTCTGTAATTTGATTTTAAATTTGAACATTCTCTCATTATTGAGTTAATTGTGCATTTTGATGATATAAAACTAAGACATTTCCTACTCATGCTCATACATGTTATGGGGATATACTGTAATTATACCCCCGCTCCAAAGGAGAGGGGGGTATACTGTTTTACCCATGTGTGTGTGTCTGTCTGTTTGTACGTCTAGCTGTCTGTGCGTCCGTGTGTCTGTCCATAACAAATTTTGGTCGCAGTTTTCTCAGCAATTATTTATTGCTGATTGTTCAAAAATGAACTTGTGTATTCACATCAGAGCGGGGGTATTATTAGTGAGCATTGGCTCACAGACTTCTTGTTATGAAATGTATAAGTGATTTTTGGTTTTTAGAATTAATTTAAAACTGAATATCACATTAGCTGCAGAACTGTAGCTCTCTGCTTGAGAAAATTTAGACAGATCTCTGCTTTGTCTGTCCGAATTTTCTCAAGCAGAGAGCTACAGTTCTGCAGCTAATATCACATATGTAGTATAAATTTTGCATGTGTACCACTGACATAAGCTGATGTTTTTAATTACCTGATGTTTTAATTTTATGTAATAAAACCAACAGTTTTGCCCCAAAAATATTTGTGATCATATTTTTGACATTTACTTAGATGTTAAAATGTAACCAGTAGTACTTATTAGGATATCAGGTGATTTAAAGATCTGGCCTGCTGTCTGCCTCCATTTTATTTGTTTTTGCCATCACATTCTTGAGTCTTAGAAACATACATGTAATCATTTTCTCCTCTCTTTTCACAGGTGAATAATAATGAAATATCTGATGAGACAGCTGGAAATCATTCTCCTTCAATGAAGAAGCAGAAATCATCCGTCTCAATCAATCCCATTCTACCTCATGTGATTTCAGATTCTCTGATGGCAAAGCATGTTGGAGAACTATTCCTTCATTTTGATGAATCAGTTTCACCCAGAGCTGTTTTGGGAATGACTGTTCAGAGGACAGTGGTAGGTTTAAGAAAAGAATATCGTATAGATTTAGATAGTCATATGTTGGCAGGTATTAGACAGGTAAAAATTACCTTATTTTGAAGTTTGTGAAATCTTTCTACCACGCACTTGTAAATTGTATTATAGGCCTGGTACTCTGCTCTGCAGATTTTTAAAAAATACTTTTTCAGTCATTTAAGGGGATGAAGGACACATGGTCACATGACTCTGTTTAACTACGTCATAGTCTCCGTTTATATAAGTGCAAAATGTGTAAACCATCAGTTCTTGTATTAATATTTGACAATTTGTTTACTTTGATTACCATCTTATATATAAAAAATAAAAAGTTTTAACATTCTTGTAAACATAAACAAATTATGAAATTGTTTGATCCACTCCTCTGTTTCCCTAAACTGCGCGTCCAACAAGTCGGTGACGTCATACACGATCTGTTAGTACAGCAAGATCATACTCGGTGAATTCAGGGGCGGTATTATTATGTAAAAAAAGGTCATAATCAGTATGTGATGAAATATTTTGAGAAATGGGGAACACAAAAATTATTTTTGCATTGCTGATGACGAAAATCTCATGTAGGTATATCTTATTTCGCTATTTAGCTTACGCGTGACGTCATAGTTGGTTTTTCCCGTACTCGAGAAATGTAAACATGACATGGTTTTGTCATGCTTATGCCTTCTTTCACGAAGTCCTGTGCAATATTGAGGTCAGCTTCACCATTCGAAATTTTTACAGTTAATCAATTATACGAAGGACTTGCATCTCAAGGTAAATTGAAAAATATTGAATGATAGAATTTTTTGTAAATTACGTTTTATGTTGTTTAAGTTGTCTTAAAAAGTACGTAATTTTCCCTATCCAGATGCAGAGTGATAGAAGAAACTCGCTTTTTCGAATTTTAAACCCTGTTCATACTCTGAAATATTTTAAAAGATAAATGTCCACTTACATATTTTTTATAAATCCTTAAAAAATCCCATTGTGGACAGAGTAATGAGTCCGGAAACATGGAGAATTAAAACTCCCCTTAGATAGTGTAGGACATAGTATTTGTCAATCAATATCTCGAAAATGAGGTCAGAAACCTAATGATATTTCTGCTTTAAGATATGTGGGACATACTTAATTAGAAATATACAAAATATAAAAAAAATTGAATGACAAGTATTTTTTCAGCTCAAGGTCCTTCTTCCCCTTAAGCTTTTAATGTTTTGATAAAAATGCTAAGCTGAGATAAATATAGTTCATTTCAACTCAAAAACTTATCCACAAAGCTTATTGACTTTTAATACACACAGTCATTTTTATGTGCCGGCCTTAAGACGAGATGTATTATGTTGTGGTGTTCCTGTCTGTCCAACTGTCTGTCTGTCCATCTGTTAGCTCTTTTGTGTCTGGCTTTAACTTATTAAATACATGTACTATGAGACCTAGAGTAATCAAACTCTCTCTCTCTCTCTCTCTCTCTCTAGATAGATAGATAGATAGATAGATAATGTACTATTTGTTTTAATAAATAACTGCAGTTTAGAAGATGCACCTCAAGCATTAAGAATGCATATGGAAAAGTCATTTAGATCTTTGTACTAAGAGTGACATGATTTTCTCCCATGCACTCTGACATCTGTTTCTGATAATTAAACAATATTATATGGGGTGAATCTTGCCATGGTGGTGCACCTTTTATTAGTTCTACCAAGCTTATGCAAAAGTCAGATGTCTGGCATCCGTCCATCTGTCTGTTTCTAAAATGTTATTCATTCTATAGTTTTGGTCGAATTTCAGTATAACCTTGTAAACTAAGATGCAAAATCCAGTTTATCAGTTTTAGATTTCAACAAATGGTGTTGCCATGGTTGTAAAACTAGAAATTTTTGTTTTTTTGTTTTTTTTTTTCTGGGAATTTCGGCACTTTTCAACTTAGATTTTTGGCCATATCTTGAATATAGAGATGAACAGTTTGTCAGCGCAACTCCTCCTAAACCACTGCACAGAATTTCGTCAAACTTTGCAGATAATTAGGACACAATGTGTAGATGTGTATATTACCAGGAAATTCTGATTCCTTTATTTTTCTGGGAATTTCGCCACTTTTCAACTTAGATTTTTGGCCATATCTTGAATATAGAGATGAACAGTTTGTCAGCACAACTCCTCCTAAATCGCTGCACAGTATTCTGTCAACTTTTGCAGATATTTAGGACACAATGTGTAGATGTGCAAATTACCAGGAAATTCCGATTCCTTTATTTTTCTGAGAATTTCGCCACTTTTCAACTTAGATTTTTGGCCATATCTTGAATATAGAGATGAACAGTTTTTGGCCATATCTTGAATATAGAGATGAACAGTTTGTCAGCGCAACTCCTTTTAAACCGCCACACAGAATTTCATCAAACTTGGCAGATATTTAGGACACAGTGTGTAGATGTGCATATTACCAGGAAATTCCGATTCCTTTATTTTTGCCCTAAGAGTTTTGCCTATTATTGAAGAAACTTTCCAGCAAGGTAATAAGGAAATCCACACTGGAATCAGCCTTTGTAATGACATTTTATGTGAAATATTTTATGACCTTAAAAGACCCCTATTGATTTTGAGATCAAAATATTAATGATTTAACACACACTCAAATTGGTGCTTTGCCTTAAATAATTTCATAAGTACAGTATATAAACAAATTCATATGACTACATCATAATTTTGTTTCCATCAATTATTTAAATGTGTAAGTTGTCATTTGTTGGACATGGACTTACACTCATTAACAAATCGAAATCACTGAGGAATTTAAATAACAGTTTGTCAGCATAACTCCTGCACTGAATTTCCTGAAACTTTGTAGGTATTTCAGACATAGTGTATAGATTTGTACAGTAAAACTCCTTTAATACGAACACGGATATAGCGAATTCACGGATATAGCGAAGTTTTCTTGCATCCCCAGCTATATAAAGTTTACGAATTCCTTATACGGATATAACGAATTATGGATATAACAAAGTAATTTCACAGGTCCCTATGACTTCGTTATAACCGAGTTTTACTGTATATTACCAAGAAATTTTTATTCAATTATTTATCTAGAAACTTCAGCCCAATTAAATTTGTAACATACAAAGATTTGAATGTCCTTATATGCAAGAAGTTTTGATGTGATGATTTTTTGCAAGTAATGCCCCTTTTTGAATTATACTGTGTATTTAAAATGCACTGTGCTATTCAGTACATGTTGCATTGTCGAGTTTTGGGGGAGCGTGGGGTATGTGAGCTTGCTCACTTTTTCTTTCATTATTTTTTGTTTTTCAAAATTTTATCCCTTGTACAGTATATACATGTGTGTATAGTTCTGCATCTTTTATATTCATTGTAATACACGTTCTAGCTCACAGTGCTTGTCATTTCTTGTACAGGTACATATTACATTGCTTCATGCACAAGAGGATACCTTGCAAAAGATAAGAAATGCTGGCAGTGAGGGTTGTGTGTTTTATGATGAACAGGAAAAGAGAGCTCGGTTTTATTACAGCAAACCACTGAACTACCTGAAGAGAGATGACAGAAGGGAACTCGTGCGATCCTTACTCCACATCATATTGATGCAACAGAGATTTGAACAGTGAAGGGATGTAGAATTAGTTTGATCAGTGCTATGTCTCAATTTATTTGTTCTTTGTAGACTCCAAAATTTTAAAATTGTTCCAAGTGAGCTTGAAAGATAAAGTACTGTGAAATAAAATAGAAAAACAGAGTCTGAAGAATTTTTCAGAAGAGTGTGGAGAAAACAAATTTCCAAAAACTTCCAAGGTACAATTTGAAAATATATACATCCTAGCATTATTAAATAGCATACATATATTTAAACCGGGAATATATTCTTTTCTCTGTAAAAATAAATGAGCTTCATATGCATTACATTCAATGCTTTTGTTGATTTATGAGGAGTAATACTCCAATTTGGGACGTAATCAAAATTTCCTTGAATAACAATTACTCACCTGCATAAAGCATGCGAAGTATATTTAACCAGTTTTAATGGAACAGCCAAAAACCTTTCAGGTTGTTTCACTAAAGTTGACCTAACAGACATCACTCTTGAGGGAATTGCTATTATTGCTCTTGCTCAGGATTTTTTAGGTGATGCTTAATTATGAAACTGAAAAAAGTCTATTTCCCTGCTGATAAATGATAAAGTACTAGCATTTAGAAGTAGAATACATTCATATGCTATTACATGTACATGTATATTGTTGCAATGCTAAAATTCTTTTTTCTGTAAACATGTTTATAACAATTAAGCAAGTTTTTCAAAGCACCTGCTTTTCCAGCTGAACTTAGAATTTTAAACAGTCATGTAATAGGCAACTTTACTGATATTAATTTTAATTGAAATGAGTTTGATATAACAAGTTAACAAACAATTGGAATAGTCTAAAAAGAAAAAAAAACAAGTAAATTTGAATACATGTATGTGACAATAATTCAAGTTACTCAAAATGTGATTTGCATATCACACTTGCCCCCAAAAATTGAACACATAGCATAAGATTAAAAAAAAAATCTCACATCTTCAAAATGTATTCGATTGTATTTCCAATGATAAAATTATATGTTTTTTTTAATATATAAAATGATAAAATAATATGATGTAATGAATTTTAATCGATGACTGAAAATGGTAAGTGAAAATTCTAGTAAGTCAAATGTTTTGTTGAATTTGAGTGATTTTTAAAAAAAGAAACCATTGTCAATGTTTTGATTCCTGTAAACTTGGAGGTGAACTTTGTCTTAACGTCCACGGAATCCTTTGCTAAATATTCATTAGCTGAACATACACAGGAGAATGTCATTGTTCATGGTATGGCCAGTCAGTTGTGATTATGTATATAATTTAATTTTTAAGATCTTTATAATTAATACACAGGATTCTCATACATATGATACACTGCACCTTCTTATATACAATGCATTATCACGCACACATGTACATACAGTCAGTATAATCTGATTTCAAATTGAAATTTTCTTGATCAAGCAGCAAATATAAATAAATAATCTAAAAACTTAGTGAAAGTTTCATTTCAAAATCCAATTAATTTATGTTGTAATCTCGTCTTGAAGTGAATCATCGCGGGAGAGATCAGGTATTTTCAGCCAATCGTTAGCTCTCTCCATTATTGTCTTAATGTTAAACAGAGTTATCAGATCCTTGTAGTCACACGGGACTACTTCATCGTTGTAGCTGGACTGGGGGAAAACGTCATTAGGGCAAAGACTGAGGAAGTTTGCCGCCTGCTCACAACTTTCTTTTGCTCTTTTGTCTCTGAAGATCTGGGTGATGTCATTGTTTCCAAGACGGTCGATTTTTGTCAGAAGAATAAGCTGGGGTATGTCTAAGAAAATTAGCATACATGTATAATATCTGCAATGATAGCCACTCCCCCCATTGATTATGAATTTTCGGTTACTTTCCTCTTTGAATAGGTCGACCTCTTGTCTTTGGGGTATTTTTCCCGAAAATATGTTATTACATAGTATTATAGAATATCTACGTAATTTTGTTTCAACTATTATACGGTGAGGTTGAGGTTAAAACTTTAAACAACTGTGTATATCAAACTTCTTAATCCTCCCCACCTATGCAAAAGCCACATTACGTTATGTAGGTTCACATTTGTTCAAAAAATGACTCCTTGGACTGGGGTTGAACCACAATTGGCATCCAAGGATTTACCTTGGAGTATGTGGGAAAAGACCATGATTAGTCATATCTATATACAATGTAGATGCATTTTCAGATAGCGATAATTCAATTTTTATTTTTTTTTTTCAATTTTAACCCCAGGGGTAGGGTTGGGCTACGATGGGGCAGTTTATTTTTTACACGTATATAGGAATTAATGGGCGAAAATCTGCTGATGAAGAGAAGGAGGGCTATTATGATAGTGACTCAGTAAGCGTTGTAGCCCATTGGCCTTATATTTGTTTTTATCTGTGTATGACTTCTTCACCATATGTGAAAAAAGAAAAAAATAAATATACATGCATGAAGCATAGAAAAATAAGCATAGATAAATAAAAGAAATGTAAGAAAATTAAAGGAGATTGGAGTTAGCCGACACTTATTTTCGTTAAATTATTTAACAATTCTGTTGTATTACCTGATAAACCTTGAATGGTATCATCTATTTATACAAGAAGAAAAACAAAATAATTTGTAATTAAAGAAGGCATTGCACTATTGACAACACTATTTTTTTCCCATTATGTCAATGAAAAAGACGATGGCCTTGACCTGACATGCTAAAATTAAGACAGTAAAATTGAATTCAAATGATATCATCACCTAAGTTTTATTATCTTTTCACATGAAAAATTCATTATTTTTTAAATACAATTAATCATTAGAAGCATTATGAAGAGTAAATGGAAAAAGCTACTGTATTTGTTACAAATACCTTCTTTGCATATCTTTTTTATAGTCTTAAATTGATCCAAAACTTCATCCTGAACGAATCCGTCTTCATCGGCCGCCAAAACGTAAACAATACAGTGTATCTTTCCTTTCTTTGGTGGCTCTTGACAACACTTTTTGTCATCAGACTTAATTCCTTCCTTGGGATCTATCTAATTACATTTTAACAGCTTTAATGAGTACTGTAAGTAGAATAATTTTCAATAAAGGGGGGGGGGACCTTTTTCTGGATTGCTAAACATATACATATTTCCCAGAGATAGAATTTCATAAAAAATCGCAATGAAAGATAAAGTTTAAATATCAATATTCTTTGAGGTAAGTACATCTAACCTCGTAAAGTTTACCTTTGAAATCCACAAAAATTGAACCCCTTTTGAATAAAGCAATTCAAAGGTAGGGTCTAATAACTTGAAAGAGCATTTATTTGATTGATAGAAAATACGATGACTGGCAATCGATACAATAAGTACATGTAGAAAATAAAAACCAAAATAATGTTTATGAGAAGGTTTTACAGATAAACTGATATCAATGTTAGTGATAACAAAAGAAAATTATATTTAAAATAAAAATCTAAGCAAACTTTTAAAAAATACAGTTTAGTACAGAAAAAAATTTAAAGAACGATTTACCATACAGTATAATTAATTATTGCTTACAAATGATAGGCAAAAATATCGCAGCACCGGTTTTTATTCTCTTAACCATGATATGATTATTAATTTTACACTTTAGTCAAAATAAAAGATTACATGCTTAATTTTATTTTTTAATGCATGTAGCATCATTTGATCAACAAAAAGTAGGAACACTTCTAGTAAATTTACAACTAAGATAAGTGGTATCTTTTAGGAAAATATGCAATAAATAACTATGCCATTATTTATAGATTAAAAAGTCTAGATATGAATGAAATGAAGTTGTATAATTATAAGATCTTCGTGTAAACGTCTGTAAGCCAATAACAAAATTTGTAAGTTTTTTGAAAACTTTATTAAACTACCGTGATCGTAAAGATTTTTAAATGCTTGTTTCTGAAATTTCATCAGAATAGACCAATACGCTGGTTATAGCAAAAGCTTTAAAAATCCGTCCCAAATATTCCAGAAGAGCTTAGAACTAAAACTCCAAAAGTAATAATCAAGGTGATGTCCAAAAATTAGAGTCCAAAAAGTATTCCAAAAGAGTCAAAGAAAAGAGAATAGAATAGAATGCCGTTTTCCGGCAAAACAGGGTATATTGTGCTAAGAGGGTATTCATGGTCCCGGATATAAAAGTACTTTTCATTGGCTGACTTAACATTGCCATGCCACCTACGCTTTGTCCGTAGGTCTGTCCGTTGACCTATGAACCCCAATATGATACCACCCTCCAATACAGGCATACCTTCATTAATAATATTTATGGACTCAGTCTCCATCTCTGCACCACAGGAGTTCTAGCCCTAGGCTCTTTTACTTATCTGCTTCAAAGCTCCCAATTTTTTTTACTCTTAATCAAGAATCTTAATAGTTACTTACATTTCCGTTCAAATTTTATTACTTAGTATCGATGGGCTTGATTGGTCTATTCTGATCAATTCCATTACAAAATGATTTACAAAATTATAGTTCATTGTACCAACAACAAAATCCAATTTGTTCTAACAAGATAATTATAGTACATGAACGTAAAGTCCCTTTTCCAATTATAAAGTCACTGTATGATTGATTGATTGTATGTTGTTTTATTCGAGAATATTTCACTCATATAGAGACGTCACCATATACCGGTGAAGGGCTTCAAATTTTGACCTTTACTCGGCACTCAGGGCCATTGAGCAGTGAGGGATCTTTATCGTGCCAACTCCTGCCGTGACACGGGGCCTCGGTTTTTAAGGTCTCATCCGAAGGACCCGCAACTTTCACTTCAAAGTGCCGAGCGCATGGCGAAGGAACAGTTGCTACCCATTTTTTATCGACTTAGGTCAGTCGCGGCCGAAATTCGAACTCACGACCTCCCGATCACGGAGCGAGCCCCCTACCGACTGAGTTACCAAGTCACTGTATGTGGTACACTAATAATGTACATCCTTGTTTAATAAACTTCTATTTTATTTTACTGTCACTACTAAGTTCACTATTAATAACTAAAATGATTATGATATGAGTCCAAGTTTAAAATGTTCAAATAAAATGTCCATTCTAAACCCTATAGGTCTACACGTCACATTAAGCATTTTTTCTGTATTTAGCCAATCAAACGTTGAATTTGTTGCTGTAGTAGAGATTGCCATTCCTGATGTAATGCATGTTTGAATTGCAGGTGTCATTTGACAAACTCAGCCATCAATCATGTTCCAAATGTGCTGAATAGAGTTGTGATTTATATAATGTTTTTTTTTTAGTTTTAACTGATATACATTTTAAAACTAAAAAAAAAAACATTATATAAATCATAAGCAGTATTAATGAGAATCAAGTATATGTGCATACCCAATAATGTCAGGAGTGCAACATTTGATGTTTTGCTCCCAAGCATGAAAAAAAAAATATTATCATTATATGATTTTCTTATTTTTATTTTGGAAAATAAAGAGAAAAAGAACATTTTTACCAAAATGATTTCGCAAAAAAATCTTCTCAAGAACCATGGACAGATTATCACCTAACCTGCACATTAGGATGGGGATATGTTGTAGATTAAAAATTGTTCAAGGCATCACTCTGGGGCAAAGGGCGTGGTCTCAAAGTTGACCTTAAATTATGTTAAAACTTTGATAATTTGCCCACTATAAGAACTAGAATCATCAAATCTTGTCATTTGATGCATCTTAGGACCTTAAGTCATATTGATTTAAAAGAAGTTCATGGTGTCGTATTTTCTGAATTTTACAGATATTCATTTTCAGTTTGGTTTTGACGTATATCTTTAACACTCTTAAAAGGCATATATGAAATATTTTCTTTTCACTAATTAATAAAAATAATTTACCTATAAACACATAAAAAATCTGCACCTCTTTATCTGCAGTGGTTAAGCTAATAAAAACAATAAATTTGACATTTTATGCCTTCTCACGGAAACACACGAGCCTTAAAGCAGCAAAAACTCTCTTATCAGCTGTGGAATGCGCAACAAGAGCATTGTACCTTACAGTTAACATCATGGCTTCACAAACAGATGGAATTGAAATATTAGAAGAAAAAGACATTTGGTTTGATTTGGAAGTGGAGGAGGATTTAGGGAATAAAGATGATCTTAGTGAAGATTCTTCTGAGCATGATGATTCAGATTTTGATATTATTGGGACAGAAAACGCTGACGTTGGCATTCTCCCCTACCAATATGAGCCTTATGCAACGAAAATCTGTTATAAAATTCAAGTAATTCCACCTCCACTTCACTGAAACAGCACAAAAAAGTTCTAGTCTAATTTATGCTTCTTAATTCTATTTTGAATACTCACAAGCTCTTGGTCAGAAGTGCAACAAAAATTTAGAATTATTGCTGATCAAATATGAATAAACTCATTAATGAAAACATTGATGAGTTGTATGTTTCTGGTTGACCTCAATTGCTTACAGTTTAAATCCCGTGTAGGAAAATATGCTGTAAATTATTTTTTATCTTTTAAATATAAATTTTTGCTAGTTTTTGACAGGACAAGGGAATACTTCAAGAAATAAAGCATAGTTTAACGAGGTTCGCCCCTGAGCCTTTGAACAGATATATATCTTAACCTATATTTAAAAAATTCTACATAAAGTTTTAATTCTTTCAATAATATTGGACTCTACAATGCCAATTAAACTATATTCAGTTCAACTCTATGATTAAATTCCATACCGAAAGCATTAAGAGATGGAACTATTTTTTGTGGCGGAAGGAAGGTTTTTTAAGAAGAAAATGATCATTTTTTCTCTTTCGAAGTATTTAAAGTTTGTTAAGTTAAGATTCCTTTTTTTTTTTTTTTTACATGCAGTCTGCACACAGAGTTATTTTGTGCAGTGAACTGTTTTATACTGGTCCTAAATTATATATTAAATAAACTGTCATGAATTCTTTCATCATATTTGATAAATATAGCAAATATATTGTGAAAATCAAGAAAAACATTATCCCTATTTTAAGCTTAAAATTAGAACTATTTTAGTAATATGAAAATTAACATCAGAGACCCCCATTTTTTATTTTATTTTCTGAATATATAAAATATTTTTAACCATTCTTCATAAATTCAGTAAAATGTCATTACTTTCAAATGATATTTTTGCTTGTTAAATTTTTAATGCCAGAAAAATGAAATTTTTTGAGTGCAAAAAGGTCAAATAATTGAACATGCGGAGTAATTTGAAAATATTTTCGTTGTCACAAATTTTAATGTGTCTATTCAAGATGAAATAAGACTGTGTTTGTTTCCAGAATTTATTTGAATAAAAAACATTGGAGGAAAAACTTTAAAAATTGATTGATGTGTAAGACGTATTTTCAGTGCAAAAAGGTCAAACTAAATGCTCTGTAGAGCCAAAAGAAGCGCATTGACCCCAATTTTTGATTTTAATTTTTGATTAAGCTATGTGTATAAATTCTAAAAATATACTTGATAAAAAATTCTCATTACTTTTGATGGCAGGATCCAACCTCCTTAAATACTTTCATGTGTTTTAATTATGTAGTATTGGACAATAGATATTACACAATTTTGTTACCGCTTGATGTTGCCAACATTTTATGCATTTTTATGTTGTATGGTTTTAATTTTAAATTTTACTACAGTCAGGGGTGCATCAAAACGCTTTTATAATTATCAATAAATTTCATCTATCTTTATTAAATTTTATTATAAATTGCAGAAAATGTTAAATACTATTTGATGTTCAAATCATTACGTCTATCAAAAAATTACAGATATATTGTTTGGAATTTTACGGGTCAATTCATGATCAGAGAATAGTTTTCGTCACTTAACATATATCTTCAAATACAATGTGTATATTACACATTGCAAATAATCATGTTTTCAAGCCTTGAAAAAAAATTAAAAAAAAAAAAAAATGCCATAAATAATACCAAATATCAGAATGATGAACTGATTTACAAACTTTGAATGAGCTATTGTTTGTGTTATAATTTTCAAAACAAGGTTGAATAAAAACATATCAGATGTCAGGAGTACAACACAATAATGTTACGTTGGTCTTTTCAAAATGTAGTATTTTTTGTGAGAAAACTTGTATATCAAAACTATTTTTCGGCTTAGATTTAAAGAATTTTACTTAAAAGGACAAAAAAGTAATATTTGGGGAATTTATTGTTTCATATTACTTTCATATTAAAACTTTTCAAATCAGAAATAAAAAAAAAAAATAGTGTAAAATAGCAATCAAAAAGCCAATTTCTTTCATAAATACAAGAGAAGAAACTCTAAATAGGGTTAGATCTACATGTAATCATTTATATCCCTGACACCATTTTAAAGCATAAAAACTATATTTTCTTTTGATTACAGATGTATATATTTTACAAAGGATGTAGTGATATTTTCTTCTTTCAAATTACGTTTTACTAATAAAAATTCCGATATTTTTTATGCATTTATCAATTCTATCGCTACTTCAGGAATTTTAACTAGAATGCATGTACAGTATGATGATACAATTGAAAAAACATGTTATGGTTAGTTGAATTTAAGAAAAAATCAATTTGGTGGTCATTATTTTTTTAATTCACCCATAACAAGAGTCATCAAAATGTAATTCACACAGACTGGAATATCTAGTAGGCCCCTCAGGCTTCAGGCCATTTTCTCTTGAGTCTAACAAAGGCATCCCACTCCACTTTGGCACAAGATATGTTTCCTTTTTAAATGGAAAATAGTGCAGGGACACTCCATCTAAATGTGTACTTGATCACCGACCTGCTACACATCTTCTACCCCCTTTTGTTTCACTGTGAGCATCAGAGGACATGTTTATTTACATGCAATGTAGTGTAACAACATTGAGGCTGTCCCTGCATCTGTTCACATTCTTTACGTAACGCAGCTGAAAACAGCGGAAACTGTCGAGCTCAGGTTACTTTCACTGAGCATTTAATATTTTGATTAATTTCAGCTTAACCATATATCTTACAAATATGATTTTTTTCAGGACTGGATTTTCAATAAACAGATAATTTTTTTTATCAAACAATATATATATATATATTTTTATTAAAGGTGCCTTTTAAGCCTATGAATATGTTAACTTTTCAGTTTATGGATCATGGGGCTTTGAAGTGTCAACCAGAAAGTAAGTTACTATAACCTACCGTCTGAATTTTATGGCTAACCATTTACAACACATTTAAGGTCAATATTTCTGATCCTGAGATGTTTAGAATCATCAAACTTTGTCTGTTAATGCATCTTGCATCCTTAGAGTGTGCCAATCAATCACAGTGGCTTACTTTCGGAATTTTAAGACTTACAATCCTGAAACTTTGTCAGTTTATGCATCTTGGTTTTCGGAGTAAGTTACTTAAAAAAGTAGATCACGGTGACTTTTGGAATTTCACATTTATATTTAAATATTTCCAAAAGTAGGAGGCTTTAAATCATCAATCTTTGTCAGTTGATGCATCTTGGATCATAGGAGTATATAAACCAAAAAGGATGTCACTGTGCTCTTTTTTTGGATTTTACACTTTCTCTCAAAATTTAGGAGAAGAAGAGGCTTAAAATCATCAAAGTTTGTCAGTTGATTAAACTTTAGTCCACGGACTGTGAGAACTAAAATATTTATCACAGTAGCTTACCTTTGGAATTTCATAGTTTCATCTCAATATTAAAGGTAAGAGGTTTGAAATCATCAAACTTTTTTGAGTCGACTCAAACTTATGGATCCTTTTGTGTCAACCAAAAAAGCGGGTCACTGTGTTTTACTTTTGAAATTTCATGGCTACATCTGAATATTTAACATAATAAGGGGCTTAGAATCATCATATTTTTCAGTTGATACATCTTGGTTTCCTAGAGTCTTAGCCAAAAAGTATGTCATGGTGACCTTCTTTTGTATTTTTAAGGCTTTAACTAAATATTTAAAGTACTAAGGGCTAACATTGGAAGTGAAAGATTGTACAGTTTATTAGAGGGGTGATTCTAGACCTTTGGGTCTTTGTTTTCAAAACTGGAGTTTTTGACAAAAACGTTTTATCTAACCATTATTTTTGTATTGTCACCCTAGCTATTAATAGTATATTTTGTGGGGTCTTCGTGCTCTTGCAGGATGCATTATCATTTGTTCTGTTTTTTTGTTGTTGTTTTTTTTTTTTTTTTTTGTTTTTTTGTTTTTTTTAAATTCTAGTGATGATCAACTTCATGACCTTTATATATATATATGACAATCTTACTTGCCTCAACCCAGTTAACTACCATCATATTGCATTTTGGACTTACGGAGGACAAATAAAACTGAATTGCGTTACTATATTTAAAATAAGTAATCTACTTTCAAACTCCTATAACGGAAAACAGTTTGGTGTTGCAACCCAAATTTCATGTGTATAATTATACTTTTGCACTGACCAAATATCCAGCTTTGATATGGCCTTCGCAAATCTTCTTGATGTCTTCGGTCCGTACTCCTTTGTTTCCCTTAAAAAGTCCTCGGATATCAAACAATTTTACGGGTAAGTGTTTCGTTATACCACCAGTTTTTATTTCTAGCTGATAAGAGTTTACCTACAAATTAAAAAGATAAACTTGTATAACTCTACACTGCAAAATAATTATACACATTCAATGAAAAGCAATAAAATAATAAGCTTTAAAAAAAAAAAAAGAGAAATAACAATTTTTTGTTTCTTTTGCCACGTATAGCTTACAAAAATCAAAAAGTACGTGGTGCACAACTTCGAATTGCTTTTAAAATCTGCATTATCAGCATTGTTACAATACTTATTTCAAACGTTTAGGGGATTGGAAAAGGAAGGGTTTTGATTAACCCCTCTAAAAATTATAAAGTCGCAAGTTCGAATCAACTACCCCTGCATTAAGATTTTTCATAAGAGTGGAACAAAAATATATATCATTAAAAAAACAATATTAGTAGAGTATAATGGGATACGTAGATTACTATTTATTCTGGCTGTCTAGAGATTTTTTCTCGATTTACGAACAGTTAAGTTTCTCTACCTTGAATTCACAATCTTGAACGGCTACAGGTTTATGTCTGTGATTTAAAAGGAACAATAGTGAAGGATGTCGCATGTATAATTCTGTTTTGTTTACGAATGTTAAAATGTAATAGATCAGGACAATACATGTAAATATAGAAAATTAGAAGAAAAAAAAGAGAAAATTGATATCATAGATCAATAATTTAGTATACACCTATAGTATGATTAGCGAGATTGATGATTTTATTCCTATGTGTCATGCCTGCAGCTGAGTGCAAGTGATTAATTAAAGAAGCAGTGGATTTGGCTTTGTATATTCTCCCTAAATTTCAACTACTATTCAAATGTCTTTATTGTTTGAAAAATTAATAAATGAAAGCACAGATTAGATTGTTTTAAAGGGATTTTTGTTTTATAAAAATAATTTTAGTGTCTGGTATTTTTTTGGATTTGGTTTTTGGTATATAATAAGTACCTACTTTATGGAATCATTGTTCAATCTTTTTGTGCCATGAGTCAATCGCTTTTTAGGCTATTACTTAACCGATCAGTTGTAAATATACTAAAACTTAATTTGAAATCCTACCCTTTCTGTTATACTCTCGGACCCCACTGCTCCAACGGCAGCTCGTTTAATAACTCTTCCCTCTTGTAGTAAAGCTGTCAAACACGCATTAACAAAGGAAGATTTCCCACTTCCGGCTTGTCCAAGGAGTAGAATATTCAGTGTTGTGTCATTTTTAGTCCTCATCTCCGATATGTTTTTCAAAATGTTTTCTTTTACCTACAGACATACAAACATTTCTCAAGCGTATAGTCTCTTGAGCAAGCCGTATCTGTGGGAAAATATTTTTCAAAGTTGATCAATTATTACTTGGAAAAAATATACTCTTGAACTCAGTTGTTTAAAAAGGTATCATAAACTCTTTATCCAAGCTTATCTGCTATATTGCAGACGGCAGCACATGTATAACATGTAAATATATCTAAAACCAAACACAGCTCAATAAATCTTAATCAAAATCATGCATCAATTTAATTTCAGTATTGTTTAGAAAGGTTTGATAGGGAGTTTATGAAATTAATTTTAATGAAATTGTGCATTGTTGTACTAGCAAGATGTACATGTCATCTAAACGTTCTTCATTTGACCAGACACGATTTATACATAAATTACATGTATTAACTTGCACAATTTTTAGGAACTGTAATGATCAGTGGTTCGATTAAGTCCCTAACCAAAAATATTGCCTTCCTGCAAACATTTGCTGAAAGTCTGCAGCAGACATTACAGAAAACTTGCTGCAGACATTGCTACAAGCTTGCTGCAAAAAAGCTAAAGAAACATGACAGCCTATACAAAGCCTTTGAGTTTGCAGCAAGTTTGCGGTAAGTATGCAGCAAGCTTACAGCAAACATTTTACTACGCAAATGAGGTTTGCTGCAAGACTGGAGCAAACATTTGATTTCCCAAATATGGAATTCTAGTTGCTAACTTGCGGCAAACATTGCTGTACACTTGCGACAAACATTGCTGCATTCTTGAAGGAAACATTGCTGAAACGTGCAGCAAACATTGCTGCTAACTTGCAGCAAACAATTGAGTTGTTTTTTAGCACATTCCTGCCTATAAGCAGTATGTTCTTTGCCTTTTTCTTGACCTTTATAATAGATAAAATCCACCACATGTGTTTCACATGATGGAAGTTTCTGAAGTGTTGATAGTCTATCTTTGTGTTCCTAGACAATGTAATGTCATGCAAATCTAAAAATTTAATATAATGCTTAACTTGTACTTCATGTTGGGGAAACTACATTGGACAGACCGGTAATGAACTATCTGACCGCGTAAGAGTCCATAAACAACTAATACGGAACCCCTCTATCATGAATACGGCTTGCATTGAATATTTCGATTCATGTGCAAGTGGAAACTTTTTAACATTTCCATTTTATGAAATTCTAGAAAATAATGAACAATTACTGACAGCCAAGAAAGATTACTTTGTAAAATTATTTAAACCTACAATAACTACATGTGTACATGTACATTGAACATTATAGCTCAAAAGTACACATGTAGCAGTCTCTTTCATTACAGTGGACATATGTTCAATTCTATACTTTTGGTGTCCTATTGACATTAATCTGCGCCAATGTATAATGCATCCTTCGTTACGTCACAATAACGACTTGTTGGTCACGTGATCAAATCCTATGAAGCCCCAAGGGCTTCACAGTAGATTTTATCCAACCAAGTTCATTTCCCAGTGAACTTTTTAACATTGTTGTTTATTACTTATATTTATATTTGAGACAAATATCCGAATAGAACTGCATGTATTACATGAACCGCCCGCCGTATTGCTATGTTGTGACACGCAATGACCTAGAAGTTGTTTGGTCTTGAGAGTTTGCCTCGCTCTAACATTTGAATACTGACATTGATGTTCAGCAGTCTAGTTCAGGAAATCTCTGTTTATAATGAAAGAACAATGATCGCTACTAAAATAATCTCACTATTTTATGAGTTCTTTTTACATGTAAAGTTAGAAGCGATGGTATCTTCTGTTTCAGTTTACATACCCTCAAAGGAATTTCGGGTTAAAAAGGTAAGCGCGATTTTAGGCTAATTATATTATTCAAATTATTCTTCACACCAAAGAAAGATCTAATGAACTTTTGTTGAATGAAAAAAAAATCATATGTTTCAATTATTTTATCATTTCATCGCTATCAACATAGAAGTTCCGAGATCAGTTTCACCGTGACAAAAATATGTAGGAAAGATTGCATCTCGCCGTGAGATTCGGTTTGACCTCTGACCCTTTATAAGCTCATACAGAATTATACATATTTTCTCTTCAATAGGTTTATCTAAGAAAATATTTACAGACGTTTGCAGATGTAAATATAATGTATTAAATGTGATGTTGTTATTTTTAAGTATCTTAGATTTAATTTTCATATATATATATATATATATATATATATATATATATATATATATATATATATATATATATATATATATATATATACACGGTTACCTGCGAATTTTCTGTCAATGATTGATGGATTTCACGCCAAGAGTCATTAAGCAAATCTGTCAAGTAAAATTTATAGAAGACAAGATTTGCTGTAACACATTGTTCAGTCTGCAAAACTTTGTTTAACTGCATGTGCTTACATGAACATTCTTTTCCCCTTCCAGGTCTTTTAGAATTCTCAGCATTCCTTGTTAATAAATCTACAATACATAAAGACTAAAAGGTATGGGGAAAATCAATTATTAATCACCCTTATAACAAATTGCAAGTCCGTTAGAAAACGAAATCCTTCAAATGTGTTATTTTACTGTTAGCCTATTTTAAAAGTTAACCTTTTTGTGTTTGCAAAAAGTGATCTTTGACATAAAACTTGAACGTAGTGATAAACTTTGATTGCACTGAGACAGCATATCATGAAAAAGCAAACAAAAAATATTACGAGAACACTTTTGCAAACAAACCTTACAATAAATAGTTGAGTATTTTTAATTGTGTTCTTACTGTGTATACCGTAAATCCCCAAAAGGGAAATCGGAATAGCTACTGCAGCTGCTCCTTTCACATAAACTGAAAAATATAAAGAGTTGTACATAAAATTTCATACTCTCTCTGTCTCTTTCTCGCGCTCCCTTTCTATATCTGCCTCTCTACCTCTCTCTCTCTCTTTCACTACATAAACTCACACACACAAACACATCTTCACAAACATGCACAGATACATACACACTTTAGGTATATTATGTACGTATACAGTGCACATAAATTAGTATAAATGATCATGACTATGTATAGTACTTGGACAGAAGGTTTTGTATGTAAACCTACATTTAAACATATATTATTATATTATACTAAATATTTTTTTTTTACATTGACAGCACACGTTCTTTTTCAAAACCGTAATTATTTATTTTTATTCATCATACCACTGTTATCCTTTAGTTGTTGCAAAAGATCCATTTGTTGTATTGCCTCCCTTAGACCTAAAATGCAATATATTATAGTGATGAATACCATCTACATAGAAGTTTAAATCCAGACAATAGACTATAAAATTACTTAATACCATATTTGTTTAATATAATTAGCAATGCTTATTAGTAAGCAATGACAAATTAGAAAATTAATGAATTTCTTCCTTAAATTGGAAAATTTTGCAAAGACCACCTGAAAGTAGACTTGATACATGTAGCTACATGTACTGTCTTATTCTTTTCACAAACAATGTGGTCATGTGATATTTTTATATGATAATGAAATCCTAATTTTCACTGTTGTTGATAAAATAAGAAAGGACAACAAGGACATGAGACTAAGTTCTGTCGTTTATTTGGCTTTAGCATGCCTTTCCTTTTATTTTTTCTGTAACACATTTTACTTTTTCTTGAGTCTGTAAAATCGTATTAATATATAAATGCATAAGTTACATAACCAAGAGAAAGAGAGAGACAGACAGAGAGAGACAGAGAGAGAGATTACCACAATGAAATATTTATTTATTAAAGAAGGAACAGTATCGTACCCTGTAAAAACATCATCAGGTAAGAGGAAAATTAAAAAGCATCTGCAAAACCTTAACTTAATATAAAGAAAAGTAGTATTAATGGAGAATTAATACTCTTTTTAGCCCACCTGAGCCGAAGGCTGAAGTGAGCTTTTCTGATCAAAATGTGTCCCTTGTCTGTCGTTGTTGTCGTTGTTTGCGTCGTTAGCAGTTTTACAATTTAATTTTTTTTTCTACAGAACCACTGGATTAATTTCAACTAAACTTGTCAAAGAGTGTCCTTGGGTAAAGGGGATTCAAGTTGTTTGAATGAAGGCCCACTCCTTTTTCTAAGGGAAGATAATTAAAAAATACTAGAAACTCATTACGAGCGATGTCTTCCGTCCAATTCTGAAAAAACACACGAAAATTCAAGCTGAAAAAGAGATAAAAGAAATTCGTGAAAATTCAATATGGAAGCCACTACACAAGCGCAATTTTACCAGCCATCATCGATGTTAACTTTGTATCATTGCTCGAAGTAACGAGCACGTCGGGGAGGTTAAAAGTTTTTTTATATAGTGCGGAATTATAGAATGAGAGCTAGTTAGCCAAATTTTGTGCAAGCAGATTCACATCGGAATTCGTTACTTGAGTTTAAACAATAACAAATAATCTTTGACTGATGAACTGATGATACTGTTTACTTCCTTTATTCTTTGTGTATCAACTTTTTATTCCATGCAATTCCATGTACCTGTATTTCATACAAACGTGTCCTTGTAATCTTTTTCTGCACTTCTGCATCAGACCATTTTTCTATTATGAAAGAAGAGTCACGATACATTACGTCATGAGTAAATCTTCGCGCCTTTTCTTTGAAATGTATGCTCTATTGAATGGTCTCCGTTATCATATATATTATTGTATATACCGTACAAATTACTCATTTTATTGCATTTTGAGGTCAGAGTATTTATGTTTTCAAAGACAGATTATCCATTTCATAATCTGAAAGATCCATCAATTCCTTCATATTTCATTGATCCTTATGGTAGTTTCGTTCAACAAGACGCTCGGATGTCTCTGTAAACTCCAATATGCCAATCGACAATCCTCGACTGACTCCACTACGCTCCATACAAACCTCGGAAGTGATTGGTGGAGAAATATCCATCAAATCGATTACATTTCCCCGCCGGAAACTGCCTTGTAACTCATTTCATATTTTACTCTACATAAAGTTCTTCAAACATTTTTTTCTCTTGTCCATTTCTTCCTTGGATATTGGTTTTGATCACAACATCATGTAAGTAGTCTTTGAAAGCAAAACATAGTGTTGGGCGTGTTTCCAAGTAACTCAGACTTCAAAAGTATAACATTTGGAGGAATTTCAAATGAGATCACATGACTGTATCAGCAAGATGTTAGAAACCATTGACGTCCGAGGTTAGTGTGCGAGGAACGAGCCACCCGAGAAGCTCCGAGTGCCAACCTGCTCGTCGTAGACAGCCGCCATTTTGGACCCGCTTCAGATTTTAAAATGCGAATATCTAGAGTTTGGATTGATCAATTTTAAAACAAATTGCATATTAAGCATTTACAAAAGAGTCTCTCTTAAATTTACTAAAATTATAAAAAGAAAATTGAAAAACAAAAAAAGTTAAAAAAATGCCCTTTTTTAAATTCGCTTCCGGTAGCAACGGGAAGTGGTGACGACGCACAAAAAGATGATTCTGCAAATCTAAAGGTCATAATCTATCTTCTCCAATAAGTCTCTAGTTCATATCTTTAGCCGTTCTTTAGAACATTCAGCGACAAAAGTCCATTTAAAAATCAGGAAATAGTCCATAACTTGGAACCAAAAGAGAATTTACCAAATTTTCTTTGTGATGAACAATGTTCACTTAATGACTCATTTTTCCTGAAAGTTTCACTGAAAACCACCGAACAGTTTTCGAGAAAATGCCTGCACAAAATTTGGTCAAAAAAATAAGAAGAAGAAGAAGAAACAGTAGAATCACTATAAGGTCTTCCGTGAAGACGGAAGACCTTAATAATGGCATCTTTTACAAAAAATCTTCTCAAGAATCACCATGGTTGGTCATGTTGATACGGAAGCATTCAGGTAGTGTATAAATCTAAGTTTGTTAAAATCATGACCTCTGGGGTTAGGACGGGGCGTCAATAGAACAATTATACTTATAGGAAAAGTCTATCAAAATCTTTTAAAGCCATAATTAATCAAAGAAATATAAAAGCACCATCTTCGTTAATGTAGATTCAAGTTTGCTCAAATCATGCCCCCCCCCCCCCCCCCTTCCTGGGAGTATCTTGAGACCACTTATATATGTAAACTTTAATACTGAACTGATTTCTGCATTTCCAAGCTAAAGTGCTCAGGTGAGCGATGTGGCCCATGGGCCTCTTGTCGTTCAATACCTATATAGTCAAGAATTCAAAAAATAAGTTATGATAAAACCATAGAGTTAGAAATATAACTTGGCGTTTTCGGAAAGAAAGGTCAATGGTCCACATGTTATCGTCATCCCCACCTCAAATGGACGAGTGCCGCTGTTAACTCGTATAATTCTTGAGCCGCAAATGGCGCATTTCCTTTTATTTTAACACTCATAAATCGAATTTCAACATAGGAAATTTCCTGGATATGTTAATGGGATATTGGCCCATCGAACAATATTGCATTGATTTAACATTGATGACATTGTTGATGGGAAATTGACCCATTGAAAAATATTGTAACTATTTGACATTGCTAATTTTGTTAATGGGATATTGACCGATTGAACCATATTGTATACAATTGACATTAATAACAATGTTGATGGGTTATTGGTCCATTCATTTGACATTGATAACATTGTTAATGGGATATTGGCCCATTTTACCAAAATTGCGTGGCGTTGTGCATTCGTGAACTTTACCCAGTGCACAATTTAACTCGCTAGGGGTCGCCACTTTCGTTGTTGATTGTTTGAGAGACGACCCGGTGGTCGCTTCAAAATTTGTCATAAATTATGTCACCGGGACCAGATAGGCAAAACTTTAAATAAATCTCATCAACCAAAAAAGAGTTATTTCTAATAACATCCGAGATTAGGATAGATTATGTACTCTAAAGTTTCTCTTTATTGATTGTGTTTTGTAGTATTACAATGGAACAATATTTATGCTTTGCAATATTTATTTTGCAGTAACACAATAAAATCATATTCAAATGAAAGTTTCCTACCTTCATTTTCTTTTGCCAAATTTTGTATCTCCGACTTCAATTCTGAAGCAAACATACTGATAAGTACATGTTCATGCATATAAATGACTTGTATTTTTATGGTAAAAGGATTTGATATTTTCTTAAACCAAGTATAACAAAAACAAGTATAACAAACTTCTACATACCATTGATAGCATCAGCAGAAAAGGACGACGACGCCCCTCCCATTGTACCTGAAGAAAATAAAAAAAATATGTTTATGTAAAAAAAAATGACGCATTCATGTTTACTGATACAAATGCAGAAAGTTCCCTGAAGCTTTTGTTTGCATTTACACTGAATGCACTTTTGAATTCGTGTGCATAGATAATGTACTTGTAAAGTGGAGCACAGAATTGTAGCATAGTAACATTCAATTGAAAGAACAGACAAAGGGCAAGGGAAAATTACAATTTTAGCGCTGTTTCATTCGCTTAAATAAAAAAAAATGCACCTTGGAACACATACAGACCACTCACATAGGCAAAAGTATTTACCATTTTATTTTCAAATCAACAGAGAGAGCATAGCTGACTCTCAGCTTTATAAATAAAATATTAAGCCATCAATACAATCAGCTAAATCAATGAAACTCAGGTACAACTGCATGTACGTTTATTTATATGTATGTACATCACTGCACCTTCTTGACAAGGTTGAATATGTACATCTTACCTTTAAGGTAGTCCGATCCTCATGTTCTGAAAATCAGCTTTTCAGTAATTGAAAATACTCACAAAAATGTCTTGGATTTCACCGAATAATATGTATTTACCCATGGTTTTTCTTCAAAGTTCATCAATAAAGTTAATCATAGTATATAGGGAAAATTATCAAATCTCAAATGTATTTTCAGTAAATGCTAATAAAAGCACCAGCTATGGATTTTCTAATTGAAAACTGATCAACAAATATATTTTTGGATTCAAAATTATAGGTATCCAGACATTTTGAGAAAATTGCATGTTTTGCACACTTATACAGTTTTTAGTTCTTCTATTTACTTCAATTGTTATAAAATACATAGTGCAAAAAGTTTGTGTTATCATTGCAAGACATCCCAGATCACTTTTGACTTCATATCATGCTTATAAGCATTGGGATCTAATGCTAGATTGGAGGAAATTTGATTTGTCTTATTTTTGTACTTTTGTGGGGTACAATGTCAACCTTTTATAATAAAATTATAAGACTTCGAAGAACCC